AAGCTGCTGTCAGTGCATCACTTCAGTACCCTGAAATCTTAATTTAGACGTGGCAGAGACACAGGTACGTGTTGTCTTCACTTCCAGCTGTGTTTGCTGTAAGACAGCGCGGCTTAAGCTGACAGACTGGGGGCTGTAAGTATTTGAGTGCTGTCAGAATTCAGTTGACTGAATTTGGCTCTAGTTCCTGGAAAAAAAAAAAAGGGTGAGGGAAGAGCTCAAGGTTTGCTGTATTTGTGGCTTTGCTACTAATCTGCAAGGACAATCTGCTGCGAGTGTTTATGGTGGTGTGATGAGCAAAGCATGGGCTCCACGTGTTGCCCCCTTCCCGCTGATTTGTTCTCTCCCCAGGAAATTTGCTGGTGAAGGTTTTGCTATTGAAATGGGCTGCACCTTTGGACTTCCTGAAGCTTCAGGGAAAATCTGTTGAGGGACCAAAGGTGGCAAAAGTTGGATGGTGGTTATGAGGCATCAGGTTCTCTGTCAAACTCTAGACTTCCTTGCAAAGCTCTTCAGGGCTGCCCTGGAAAGGGTCAGAGGAAATGGGAAAAGATATAGACTTGATAAAGGTGGTTGAGCACATGAGTATGCGTTTAAGATGTGCTTTGCTCGTGTGGAATGGCTCTGAATGCTCCTCTCAAGCAGCTCTGCCATGGAGAGCTGCCTTCCTCATGCGACAGGGATTCCCCGGCAGCGTTTACAATCAAGACTGATACAAGACCAGTGTTTTCAAGTCCTGGAGCTTTGCCTTGGGCCTCTCCACCATAAAGCTCATGAGGACGTTGAGCACACCTCTAAAAGGCTTCTTTTCCCCACTTCCTCTGCTGCAGTCGCCAAGAGAGCAACTGGTCTTAAAACTATCAAAATACATAAAAGGTTGGGCAACTTAATCAACTGTCAGGCCAGAATTGGCAGTCCTTATGTTAAAACCTAAAAATGCTCCAAGCTTTCAAATGACCATTGCTAGTGATGTTAGGAGGGTGCATTTTAAGGAATTTTAGTCACTTTTTAATTAATGAGGGCAGAGAGCTAGACAAAAACAAGATTAAGTGGTTATAGACTATAGACACTGGCGGACAGGTTTCTCTCACCTGTGATAAGAAAAAATACTTCAAATGTCCTGGCTTGGTATCTACTCGCCTGTGGGGTTGAAAAAGGGCTTATCCATTTAATAACCGACTGTGAGGGTGACATTTTTTTTCTTTTTAGCTTCGATAAAAAGTTGAGCTCTAGCTAGAGGAAAATGGTTTTATAAACCTGTACGAGTCAGCTGCTTCACAGCAAAGTGTGTAGCCTGAACAGCAGCTGATGTTTCTGCGTTTGTTTATTCTGCAATAATTTGTTTTAGTCAAAAGACGACAGCCTGCAGCATGGTCCATGCTGAGAAACCTTGAATTAATTACCTTGCATCCAAAATTTGACAAAAGCGGGATTTTTGAGTGCATGGAGAGCTTATACTGGATAAAGACGCTTACTTGATTTTTCCCTCTTGTCTGCTGTGCTAGTTGGAAGGACAAACCATCAGTGGAAGCGGAATATTTCCTTCCTTTCTTCCATATCATTCCTGTCCTTTCTCCCTCCATCTCCCTTGTGTGGATGTGCAGGATTTTTCCTTCTGTAAGTGGCTATTGCTGGAAGAAGAAACCAGCGCTATACAGAGTGGTGGGTTTTGGCACATGTGTTGCAATGGTTTGTTTTGAGCTGAAATAAGAGGTTAAGAACAGTCTTGGGCACTAGGGGAGCATGGGACAAGCACCATGGCCTGCAAAAATGTTTTATTTAGCAGGAAGAATATTGGCTTGTCCTACGTGGAGCCCACGGGACGTTTGTTCACCGTGGTGGTGAAATGTGGTCCAAGTTGCACCAAGGTGGCCTGTGGTGATTGCACTTCCCACCCTTGGATTACAAGTAAACAGATTATCATCTTTTTTATCTTTTTTTTTTTTCTTCCCAGCCTGGAATGTTGATTTGCTTCCTTGGCATAACTTTTCCTTTAATAATTTCTGGGTCGATTTGTAAGCCCCATTGTGTAAATATAAGAATGAGTGATATGAGGAATATCTCCCGATGTAGTTATGTTGTATGTAATGTACATAAGGAGAGAATGTATTTTGTTCATTTTTTTCTTAATAAAAATACATATGCTAGCAGAAGTGTTTGTTTGATGTCTGTTCCCTTTTCCATACCTTGTTTCTGAGGATGAGGATGAGTCTGTGACCGTCTCTTGGAGGCAGTTGTGATGCATGATGTCTGGACCCCAAACTTAGCTCCTTCCGAGATGTCTCTGCAGCCTCCCTTTGCACTACAGGAAAGCCAAGAATGTGTCTTGTCCCACAAAATTGGTAATTAGCTGGGTCTGCATCCCATAAATCCAGTGTTGTAAGAACTTTTTATTGGGAAGGAACACAGAGCTAAACATAGGCTGATGCAAACCGCTGCCTTTTCATACTTGAACCAAACTGGATGAGTGTTTTCGCACCCGCCCCCGCCTTTTCTTGCGTAAGTGGAAACTTGTTCCATGCAACCTGGAACAAAATGTTTTGTTTTGGCCACGTGAAGAGGAATGGCAATGCCGAGCTGCCCACGCTGATCCTGCTGCGCAATGGCCCTGCTCCGTAGGGTGGTGTTAGCTGTGACCAACCACAAGGTGAAGCCAAAGAGCAGAGCTTGCAGGTAGTTGCAGAAACCCGATGGTTCAGTGGAACAGCAGCATTCAGCCCAGTCCTGAGTTCAGCCAGAGCTTGTCCCCTATCCAAACCACCCCATGAAGGACATTTGGATGCTCAGCCCTGGCACCTCCATGGCAGCCTCCTGGCTCTTGTCCCTGCATGCCCGGTGTCCCCATGGCATGGAGCCATGGAGCAAGCTCTCCAAGGAAGCGCCAAGCTCTCTGCCCATGGTTGGAGCAGGGGGAATGGCTCATGCTCAATGGCCAAGACCTTTTGGGGTCATTTGAAGACACTCTTAGCCCCAGCCGTGGTCAGGCCACCCTTGTCCGCATCAGCCAAGCATCCTACCCTTGTGGTTTTACAATGTTTTTGATTATGGGATGTTTTTCCACTGCTATGCAGTAGATGCACAAAGTCCTCCATGGCTGGATCCCCCTGAAGGTCTTGGATGGCTTTTCCTCCATCTTGGCCAAGTCTCTCTATGTTCTCCCTAGCAGGAGCCTGCAAAGCCTGTGATGGTGGCTCCAAACAATAGCTGGTTATGACATCTAAGTAATTTATGGTTGCAGCTCTTGACTAAAAGCTTGTTTTTTGTTTGTTTTTGTTTTTTTTTAAGTCTGCCAAAAAAATGAACTTTTTACATAAGAATCTTTATTGACAGAAATACATGGTGCTTTCAAAATATAGCTGTAGGAAAATGCAAGAATAATCTCTGCAATCCAGTTTCTCAGTCCATTCCAGTGTAAATCAGACTCCTGTCCCCGAGAGACGCGGGCGGCAGGGGGGCTCCGCGCTCCCGCCGCCGGCTCCGCGCGCTCGTGTCCCTGCACGGAGGGAAAAGTCACGGTAGGAACTCGGGCCGGGCGCATCCGGACGTCTCTGCACGGTCCTCGTGATGCCGCAAAGAGGAGAGTCTCCATGAGGACGTCCGAGCTGCTCGTGGGAGCCTCACCCAGAGGTAAGAACAGTTCTTGTACAGCGAGCCTGGGTTAAAGCTGCTCTGGGATGGGGAGGGAAGAGGGTGGAGAAAGGAAGGGGAAAGGGGCAGGAGGAAGGAGATAACGGGGCAGGTTTTTCATTTTGGTCTAACAGGGATGGCTACAGTCTACCCAGGGGAGTACTAAGGCCCGAGATGATCATCGCTGCATTTCCTACCTGATCATTTTGCGAACAGTATCGACATAAAAACTCGCTTTTTTTTGTTGTTTTTTGTTCGTTTGTTTTCAGAGACAGTATTTCTTTAAATAAGGGAAGGAGAAAAAAAATCTGCTATAAAACATCAGCACTTTTAAAAAATACGATGTCTGGAAAAATAAATAAATGTACAATTCCTATTCAAATACAAATTGTTATAAGCACTTTGCCGAGCAGTCGATCTCTTCCCTGCTCTCTGCTCCTGGAGACTCGGAGCTGCTCCAGCGCCAGTCCCCGCTCTTGGGGTGGCTTTGGGAAAGTCTTTGGACCTGATTCTTTAAAGGCGATGGGATTTTAGGCACATGCCTAAAGCCTTCAGCTTTTTCTTCATCTCTTTTTACTCATTTGTATCTCTTTTTACTTGTTTTTGTTTATTTTTAGTTTCCCCCTCCCAAATTCCTTCCCCTTAGTGTGGTGCACTTGGCTAATGAACGGCACTTAATATATACATAAAAAAATAGATGGGTTTGAAGGTTCAAACCCTGTCCTCTGTGAACGGCATCTCCTGATGGAGACACAACTGCCCTGACCTTCATCTATGAGCGTTTTGGGTTTCCCCGAGCTCCCCCCTTGGCTTCGGCTGCTCCTGGGGTCTCATTCCCAGCTTGAGCTGCTGGGAAGCTCCCAAGTCCGGTCCAACCGTGGACCTTGTGCGTTGGAGCCGGTGGCTTTGGGATCTTCCTGAAAGGGCTGGAAAGGGAAGGGGGTGTTGGGAGCTGCTTCGTGCCAGGTGGGTTCTTGCAGCTTCCTCTGCAGCTGCTGGCATCTCCCGGCACATCTTTGATTTTATTTGGTATTTTTCCAATGCTGGGCATCAAAAATAAGGCAGAAACGGCCCTTTCTGCGAGCCGCTGAAGCCCAGCCCTGGGGCGCTCCGTGGGCAGGGAAGGCAGCGGAGCTCCTGGGAGCCCAAGGGCTTCCCGAGGCCTCCCCAAAAATTTGGGGGTATCAGTGATGCTCCAGCCCCTCCACGAAGGACCTTCTCGTCTACCCACCTTGGCTGCGAGGAGCTCACGGGGGCTTTTCTGGGGCTTGGGAGGGGAATTCTGTTTGTGTTGGGGTCGTGTGTGTGCGTACGGGGAGGGCGACATGGTCTCTGGCTCGGGGGGTGTCTTCTCCTCGTCGGCGCCCGCCCCTCTATAAATGCGTGTCCTCCTCTTCCTCCAGCTCATCTTTGAGGAGCGTGTCCAGGGGCACGATCCAGCTGTCGCCCAGCTCGCCGTTGAGGTTCACCTTCTTCTCCTGCATCTCCGAGGAGGTCTCCATCACCTCCAGCGTGGGGTTGTCGTGGTAGCCGTTCTCCATGGTCTGCAGCTCCTCGGTCAGGCGCTGCTGCCAGGAGGGAAGCGGGGACATCCCGGTGAGAGGTGACGGGACCAGGGATGCCCATCCCGCTTGGGAACCACCCCTTGCAGCCACCAGCACGTCCCCGCTTGCTCCGGCTGCCAGCATGTGTGTGCACGTAAGTGTATGTATTATATATACAGAGATATTTGAAAGTTGGAGCAGTCAGTGCTTGGAGCAGCTTGCAGCAGACAGCACAGGCTCGGGAGCTCCCCCATCCTCCATTCCCTTTTCCCACCCGCACAAATGATGCCCCCGGCCCCTTTCCCTGCCTCAACCCGGAGCCTCATCCTGCCCCTTTCCCTGGAGCTGCTCGTGGGTTTTGCCCCTCAGGAGGGCTGGTTCCTGGTGTCCCCATGGTGAGCTCTTTCCACCCCGCTGGGAGTCCGGCTTCCTCCTTTTTAGGAAACTTTTCATAGGGAGCAAGGGACTCCCTTCGCAGCAGAACTGTGTCTTTCTCGTGCCCTTCCACCCCCCTCTCCACAACCTCATTTTGCCTTCAGATTTTCAGTGATGCTCAGAAACTGCAGTTTTTCAGGTGCTACTTCTGCGTGGAGGTGGATCAAACTTCTCCCCATCGTGCTGGCCGCTGCATTTAAACCATCTGCAAATCACCCCCATTCCCTCCATGCCCAATCCACCTGTTTTTTGCCCCAAATGCAGCCTGCCCATTGCAAATATAATACAATGCGGGATGCTGGCATGGGATCAAATTCGGCAGGGAGGGAAGCACAATGGTTCATAGGGAACCACACACGCGGGCTCACAAAGCCAGGCTGGTTTAGTAGGGTTTAGTCCTGTTAAAAGCTCTCGAGACCCTTAAAAGCGCCAGGATGGGGAAGAAGCTGCGGGGGTTACGGTTCCGGCCCCGACCCGCTCCCTGCCCTGTGGCGGCAACAACTCACATTAAAGATCAGAGCCACATGTCCATCATCAAACCCGGGGACATCGGGGTGCAGGTGCTGTTTATTTCCAAGGTTTAAATTGGGGAGAAGAGGGGAAACACAAAAGAAAAAAAAAAGAAAGAAAAACAAAAACAAAAAACAAAAAAAAACAAAACTTTCACGTCATTTTTGAAAAGAGGCAGACAAACAAAAGAAAATAAAACTTAAAAAAAAGAAAAAGAAAAGAAATACCCCCAAATAAATGCATGAAGGGGATGAGTGGTTTGCATGGGAGGGCGGTTTGCTCGCTCTTCTCGTCCCCCTCTTCCCTTCCCTCTTATGCCTCTCTGCGCAGCTTTAACAGCAAGGACTCCCTTCTCCATTTGCTTCTCCTCCTTTTTTTTTTTTTTTCTCCTTCTCCCAAATTTGCCATTTTTAGCATTTTTTTTTTCTCTCCAAAAACCCAAACATCCTGCTCATGCGGGTATCACTGGGGCTTTCCAGATGCTGCAGTGATGCTCCGACATCACTCCTGCCCATGGTGACGCTGCCTCTGCTCCCTCCCGAAAACTTGGTTTTGGCAGTTGTGTTCGCCTGGCTCCAGAGCCCAACTCTCAATGGGAACCATCGTCAGCTTGGGATTCACCCCGGCGGGATGAAATAGGGAATGGAAGGGTTTGGGGCTCTTTGGGTTAAGAAGATACATGCCAAAAAAGCCCTAGATTTGACAGGAGCTCTGCAACTTTCCTAAAAATACTGCGGGCTCCCTCTTTTGGCCTTTCCCATAAGAATTATGGTTTGACTGGAGGATGCTGGTCAGAACTGGGTGCCCTCAAGCCCATGTCACTCATGTCCATGCCCCAGCACCACCAGCCCATCACCGTTCTTTGCTCTTGCTGCTCTCTCCAGCAGCCCCATGGGCAGCTACTGCCCCTCGGAAGCACCGGCAGCGCCCAGGAATGAGCTCAGTCCTTCCCTGTGAGCCTAAGAGATCCTCATGGGTGGTGTTTAGCATGGACATCCCTGCCAGGAGAAATGGGAATGCTGAAGCTCCTCAGCTCCTGCAGGCACCTCTGGGGTGAAGACTTGGGGCAAAGCTCCTTCCCAATTGCAGCCAGACCATCCTGGTCCCCTCCTCTCCTCTAACTCCAAGTCTCCCAAGTTCCCCCTTGCCCATCAGGGCTCACACATGCCGGCGGACAGAGCTCACCTGGTCCTTCTTGTGAGAGAAGCGTTGGTGGCAGCAACCATAGATAGCGGCAACGAGCAGCAGGGAGCCGGCCAGCGTGACGATGGTGATGATGAGAGGTGTGCTGAAGCGGTCCTTGATCTCCTCCTCCTGCTGCTCGTCGTGGAAGGTGACGTTGGTGATGCCAAGCTGCTGAGGGAAGGGTGGGTTAGAGCGAGTGTCTGTCCTTCAGGGACGCTCCTGGGGGACCCCAGCTGGACACCCCATCCCCAAATGGGCACTTACCTCCTCTAATTCATCCCTCTTCTCCTTCAGCTCCTTGAAGACCTTCTCAGGGTCCAGGTGAACTGAGGGAAGAAAGGAGCTGTGGTGAGTGCCTGGGTGGAGGAGAAGGCCACCCAGCAGCAGGTTCAAGCACGGCCCGTTTCCAAGAAGGTGCTGCATGATAAGGGGCTAGACCTTGCCAGATATGATAAAAAAATAAAACAAAGAAGGACCCAGGACTTTTTTTCCCAGCAGGGGGGCAGCACAAGAGACCAAAGTAGGTCCTGGAGGCTCCTTGCAAAAAGATGAGGAAGAATCAGAAGGTGCAGGGGATCAGTGGTGGCGATGCTGGAGGTACAAGACCCCCATTCCCAGGCTACATTTCCCACCTCTGTCCCAAGCTCCAAGGTTTGGGAGCAGCGGCTCATCTTCATGTGCATCTGCCTTGATGTATGAGATTGAGGGGTCTCCAGCCTCCCCCCGTGAGAAACTACAGCTGGATTTCACTGAAAGGCTTCAAAGTGGCCAAGAAACTCTCCAGCTACTTTTCCCCTACAGGACCTTTTTTTGTCCTGGTGACTCGTACCTAGACATATGGTGGAATGGAGAGGAGGTTTCTGTGGGTTGAGGCTGCAGCTGACAAACGGGCACTGGTGGGTAGGTAGCTCCCTTCAGAACTTACTGAACCTCCCATGGAGAAGACCATGGGACCAGAGACCCTTAGGGAAGCTCTGGTAGATACCAAGTCCCAGCTGGGTCTCCAGTGGGACTTTCCGAGGGACAAAGCTGGTGTCCCTGCGGCCCCCACCACCCCCCCCGGGGATCGGAGCACACTCACGGTGCACGACGGCCCGCACGGCCCACCGCTGCGACCGCGGCTCCGCAGACGCCAGTGTCACCGTGCACTTGTCCCTGCTGGGCTCGTAGGTGTAGCGATCCGTGGAGCAGAAGGTCTTGAACAAGGAGTCGTTGAGGGTCAGCGTCTTCCACTCAGCCTGTGCGGGTAATAAGGTGTCAGGAGCTGAGACCTGATCATTTCCTATTCAACCCCACTGCCCCAGCACCTCTAGCTTCATGCAATGAGCCGGGCAGTTCTCAGCAGAGGAAACCCAGGAGGATGGAGGTGCATCACAGCCCTTCCCTGGGATGCTGCCACCAGAGCTGGAGCCTCCTTTCCACCCCCACATCCCTCTGCCCAGGCGTCCGCTGGGGCCAGCAAACAGGGAAGGTTAAAAGCAGCTCCCTGGCTCCCGCTGGGGTCCCTGCACTGCCCTTATCTGCAGGCGGCAGCTTGTGCTGTTATGGGAACAGCAGCATCCTGAGGGATGCGGATCCGAGCTGGTCCGTGCCCACCGCCCGGAACAGGGATGCTCCAGTGCCGTGAGCATCACCGCCTGCCCGGGAGGAGGAGGACGAGCTGCCTGGGCGAGGAAGGCACATAATCGTGCCCCATCTTATCTAAATATGAGGGAAGCAACCCTGGAGGCGGCGAGCGGAGACAGGATGCACATGCCGGCGGCGGAAGGAACAGCCCCGGGCTGCGGTGGGCGCCGGCCACATTGTTAGTCCCAGGCCGAGCCCCGGTGGCGCTTGGCCGCAGTGCCCTGGGAACCGGCACCGGGAGAGCCTCCGCTGCAGGAAAGCTCCTGGAGAGGAGGAGGGGGCAGCGGGAGACGCACGAGCAGCTCGTTCCCTCCGAGCATCCTCGCACCTGCGGGTCTCCTCCCAGCTCCGGCATCTCCTGCTTCTAGATCACTGCAGCTTCCAGGTCATGCATCTCCCCTACCACGCTGTGCAAAACCTTTAAATTTTGGAGGAAGGCAGGTGCCAGGGGTGGGAATTTAGACCCGGGGCTGACAATCAGCCTTTGAGGGGGGATTTGTGCCTAACTGCTTTGCTGCCAAGAGGTGCCCAAGCCTCTCTGCCCATCACGGTCCTGTCCCGTGGGAGGGTTTTCCCTATTTTTTCCCTTTTTTTTTTCCCTTTGGAGGTGATGCTGGGCCCCGTCGGCTCTCCCACCCGAGCCGGCCGCATTCCTTGGCTGCAGTTGAGAGGCGCTGGCGCGTTGAGCTAATCCGGTTCCCACACTGGCGGGGACCTAAAACTAACATCCCCAAATGAGGTAACGGCGCTTGAGTCAACAAACCGCCCTGGCCAGCTGGCCAGGGCCATGGGGATGGAGCTCCTGCTCTGCACAAGGGTCCCTGGGCTGTCCCAGGGACAGTCCCAGGGCAGATGGGGACAGGGAAGGAGGCTGCTGAGGTGTCCTGCAGCACTGCAGATTCTTCTTCTCCCAGCAATGGGAAGGAGTATCCTGAGAGTACCAGCATGTGGGAAACCAACCAGCAAGCAATGCCGCTTGTTGCTGGGCAAAGCAGAGTTGTCCCTGAAGGTTTTCTTGCTCTGTAGAGAGTGTTGGGTAATGTTGGACTGAATGCAGGCCCAGTTTGTCCAGAGTGGTTGTGGAGTCACCATCTCTGAGGCCATCCAAAACCCAGCTGGGCAAGGCTCTGTCCACGCTGCTCTGCTGACCCTGCTTTGAGCAATTGGTTGGACCAGAAGGTCTCCAGAGGTCCCTGCTGCCCTCAGTTTCTGTGTCATGGGCAAGGGTGACCAGACAGGCCAGGACACCTGAGTTGAGGCCCATGCAGTCTCCCTGGCTTTTGACATGATCACCCCCTTCTTCAGGAATGTCAGGCTGGGGATGTGAAAAGGGGCAGCTGTGTAGGCTGGAGAGCCCCAAAGAGACAACAAAATCAAACTAAAACCCAACTTGGCAGCAGTGTGCTAGCTGAACCCTTGAAAATCATCCTATCTGAAGTGAATCTAGTTAAATAGCGTCTCATTAGGGAACCATGCTCATTAAGATCCTCCCATAATTGAAAGAAGAGGCAACAGAGAGAGCAGATGAACCTGGCCAAATTGATGAACTTGATTAAAGGTGCCAACTGAAGGGGAAATATCCTAGGAATATTTCAAGGAATGTCTGTCCAAAAAGTGTTACTAACAGCCACATATTTGTTTTTTTTACATTTTTTAGAGTATACGATTTTGAGTTATAAAAAATTTATTGCAAGATATCCTAGGAATATTTCAAGGAATGTCAGTCCAAAAAGTGTTACCAACAGCCACATATTTGTTTTTTTTTACATTTCTTAGAGTATACAATTTTGAGTTATAAAAAAAATTTATTGCAAATGGCAAAATGAAGGTGCAGTGGGTTGCACTGCCTGTGATTCCCAGAGTCATTCCCAAGAAGTTTGCTCCAGGCACTGCCCTGATGTGCAAAGCACTGAACAAACCTTAAGGCAACGTGGGGTCTCCTCTGCCACTGATGTGCCATGGATCATCTGGGGATCCATCATCTTGGTCCTCTGTGTTCCCTCTCCACCCTTTACCTGCCTCGTCACTGAAACACTGAGCTTTGGTGTACGTAAGTTGTTTGTGCACCTAGCACAATGAAATCCCTCTTTGGGCTCGTTATTCCTAGCCAGGATTTGAGCCATTTCTGGAACACTTCTCCTTAGAGCTCACACTTTCCTGTTTTCCCACGGGTTGCAAAACTCAAAGGATTTTTTTTTCACTTTGCTGTCAAGATTTGGCTAGAGACTTGTTTACCAGGTCTACAAAGTAGGGAAACCAGATAGTGCCATTTCTCTGTTATCTGCTCTGCTCAAGAGGCATAAAATTTGCTACAGTTTTCAGGAGTTTGCCGAATGGGAAGCTAACGGGTGGGAGGTGCGCTGACACCTGGGGAGGCCGATGCTAGAAGGATGCACCATTGCAGACATCACCATCACTCTGTGTTCATGGGGCTTTGGCTCGTTATTCATTATTATTTGCTATTAATGCTAAGCCACCAGGTTTGCCCACCCCTTGGCTCAGCAGTGCATCATGGCAAACGCAGCAAAGCCTTGCAGCATGTCTGCGTTACGAAATAAGTTTGAAATTGGTATTAATACTCAATATGCATTAAACCAACCATATTCACCACCGGGTGAGTCTGCTGGGTGTTGGGTTGCATTTACGGTGTTTTACCTCTCAAAAGGGATTGCATCTTAGATCCATGAAATAATTATTGTGTCTGCAGGCTTGTGAGCTTGGAGCTCCATGGATTAAAGACTCATGTCTAACTGCAGCACAACTGCTACTCCTACAAAGAAGCCCAGCCAAAAAGAGGGAAACTCAGGAAAGGGGGTACTTACACAGGTTTTAGCTTCTTTAAGGCTTATGATGGGCCAGCTATTTTGCATCTGGTCTTCACAAATGACCTAGAAAGACAGAGGAAAAGCAACTCTTAAATCACTGCCATGGATCGAAGGACAGCTGATCATTAATACAACAGGCTGACGAAAACCAGAGCTTTGGAAACAGCTCAGGAAAATCTGTGGGTTGTTTTATGCAGAGAAGACAACAAAGGAGTCTTCATTCATCCCCCCAGTCTCTTCATCCCCTTGCTGGAAAGCTAGAGTGGAAATGGATTTGTCTGTTTTTGTGTTGCTGGCTCACGTCTATGCACAATTTTCTAAAGACAGGTCTCTCCAACTCAGACATGATGAGAAGAGCTGCAGGCTTTACATGTGGATTGAGTGCCAGCTAAAAATTAATATGTTTGGGGTATCAGTTCCAGCTTTTAGTATACAAGCCTGCAGAGAACTGCTACGTGCATAGGGAATGCCTGGCCCCTGCTCTTGAGGGCATAGCTTGAAGATGTTCCCAGTGTCAGAAAGATCATTCAAGAAAGAGCATCCTTTTTGGTTCATTTCTTGGACACCGTCATGAAATGGCCCCCTTCCATAGGTGTCATTACCTCATTTTGGAAGGTCTCGTTAGGGTGCTGAGGGCCCGGCCTGCTGCTCGTCGTCTGGTGACTGGAGGTTGGGGACAGTGGCTGTGTGCTGGTTGGGCTCCGGTCAGCAATTACAGGTTTGGTTGTCGTAGGTCCTTGTCCATGGCTGGTCTGACCTGGGTCCCCGGAAAGCAAGCAGAAAGACACTGATTGAGTAGAGAGGAGAGAGCTGATACAGCTCCATCTGTGAACTGCGAATTAAATTTACAGTGACACTTATTTGGCTCTCTGGATCTGCCTTGAAGCTCCCTGTATCTAGCAATGTATGTGCAGCTTTGGGTCTTCGTAATAGTTTCTCTGAAGGTGGCAATCAAAGAGAACTGAAATGCCATAATCTGTTTACAGCCTGTTTAGGGGTTTGCTTTGGCGATTTCGGCTGCTTCCATGATACATGATGATGGTTATTTCTCTCTCACACACATTTTGAAGGCTCCAGGAGAGAGCGTATTTCAAAACCAAAAATGCTACTTAGATGTCTTCAAATTCAAACCTGAGGTCAAATTTGAATCAACACAATTTTGTTCTTTATCCTTCAATGGGAAAGAGACCTCTGGAGCATGAAGGGAAAGAAACATCCTGCGTGAGGATATCCCTTTTACCTTCCCTTGCCTGGTAACATGCCTGAAGCACAACCTGGATGGATGCAGTAAAGATGGACTCGTATTGGCCTGTTTTGTAATACTGACAACACGAGGAGCTGTAAGGCTGAGGGAGAGACTATGGCTTCATGAGTGGCTTCCACACTGCAGGCAACTGGGAAATACATCAAGATCAACCAGCTATTCTCCAAAGGAAGGCACAGATGAGCTTCAGAGTCACAGCAGCTTTTATTCGGGGCCAGACATGAGCTGTGTCCACAATCTCCCCTAAGTCTGAAAGGCTCCATGAAGACTTCACAGTCCCACTATGCAACCACTTCCCTGTAAATTCTACAAGGCAAAAATACCAAAGGGGAGCCTGAAGCTGTGCCTCTACCAGGGCATTTGGACACTCCCTTGGACACTTATTTCAGTGATGAACTCGGAGTCACCAAGGGTATAAAGTATATTAATGGTGTTCAGCAAGATTCAAAACAACCTGGGGACACTCACAATGCTGCCAAGGCACAACCAAAACCTTCCCAACTGCTTAGACTCTTTAGAGATTGTAGACTCAGAGTTTAGCCACAAAAAGCTTGTTTGCTGTGCAAGCCCACATGGTCTTCCACCTTCAGCCATGCTGGTATCTTCCACCTTCAGCATAGAGGATGCTGTCAATTCATTTCATTGACTCTCTGAATCTACAATGTCAGACTCTTCCACTAAACTCCTCACCATAGGCTCCCTTTGCAGTCACTGAAGATTGAGTCATTGCAGTCGATGGTGCTTAGAGCACAGTCTAGTCCATCTGAAAGCAGCTGTTTATGTTTTGTCAGAGGATCTCACCTTGAATTTCACTAACTGCATTGACTGATCACCAGCTGAGGACAACGGGAACCTAAACACCCAGTTCACATGGGCTCAACTACACTGCAAAGTCCCCAGGTGAGGCAAGGTGAAAATACCCTCTAATGACACAAGAGATTTAGAGCAGTCAAAAAATCACAAAAGCAGTCCCCATCCCAGAAAATAAAGGTTCTGGTTTTCTGGTACCTGCACCAGAAGTCAGGGTGGTCGTGGCTGGCAGAGAGACCTTGTCCACACTCCCAGGTGTTAAAGACTGAGACGTTTTACTAGTGGGGGAGTGGGGAGCAGAGACGGATCCAGCAGAAGGAGCAACAGAAGTGCTGACACCTCCAGGTCTGGTGGAAGAGGCTGGTCCCTGGACTTCAGAACTGGGAGAAGAATGAGGCTGCTGGGAGGCAGATTTGGTGGTGGAAATGTGGTCCTTGAGGCCAGGAGAAAGGCTGCCCGCAGGGGCCGTTGTGCTGGCTGTAGTACTGGACAGTCGCTCCAAAGGATGGATCCCTGAAGCTGCTCTGGGAGATGTGGCAGTGGTGGCTTGTGAGCTTCCTGAGCTGCCTGAAGGGCTGCTCTGGTGCTGAGCCACACGGGAGGTCACAGCGGTGGTGGATACCAATGGTCCTGAGCTGGCTGAAGGGTTGGCACTGGGCGATGGCACTGGGATGGGTGGTGGGTCTCCAGGCTTGCTTGTAGGGCTGATCCTGGGAGCTGTGCTGGGAGACAGAGTAGGGGTGGGCGATGGCTTCCCTGGGGCATTTGTAGGACTGGTCATTTGAGCTATGCTGGAAGACACAGCAGGGGTAGATGGTACCTTTTCTGGAGTGTTTGAAGGGCTTATGGCTGAAGATGTGCTGGGAAGCATAGTAGGTTTGGATATTGGGCTTCCCTTGTTGCTTTTTGACACGGATTCTTGAGTTGTGGTGGGAGGCACCACAGAAGTGGGGACAGGAGGTGAGTTTCCTGCATTGCTTTTAGAACTGATTGCTTGGGCTGTAGTGGTGGCTGCGGCAGAGACAGGCTGGTCGTCACCCCCTGGCTTGGTACTGACTGCTGGAGAAGCACTGTCATCCTGAGAGCGGACACCTAGTGAAAAGCAAAAAAGCCCAAATAAAATCAGAACTAAGGAAAACGTCACCAAAAGGCACATTGGCATAAATTTACAAAACAATCTACAGACCAAAATTCCCTACCGGGTAAACTATGGAAACGTTTATTCTACTTGCTCCAAAATAACAAGTCAACATTGGACAGGTTTTCATGCTTATTTGTAGCTCTGTTATTTTAATTTCAAGGATGTTCAAATCTACTGTCCTTGGCAAACAGTATCACCAAATTATGATTCCTTGTTTGTTTAGCTGTTTTTTTTTTTCTTTTTACTGTTCAGGAAAGATGGAGGAAATGGCATAAAAATCATCAAAGTCAGCGAACAATTTCAAAGATAAATCTTAAAAAAAAGAAAAAAAAAGTTAAAATATTCCTTTAGGTAAGAAATGCAGGGCCAAGCAGGGGAACACTGGGCTCCATCTACACTGCCCACACGAAGCCCCAGTACTGTTATGAAAGGACAACCTTAACCATAAAATTCCCACATGCTTTTCATCCTGTGGTCATAGAGCCTAAAACATCACTTAGAAAAGCGGCTTTTATCACAGCTTATTTGTTTTTGAGGAAACCCATGAAGCCTTTTGCTGAGAGCTGACATTACCTCAGTGGGAAAAGAGCTCGGGCTCAATGTAGAGAGCCATGCCCGGGGCTGGCCGTTGCTCGGTTATGTCACATTATCATTCACAAAGAGATCCATGGGCCTGCCAGTTGATTTCTGAAGAATACTTTAAATTCTCAAATTATGAGGCTGTTTCTCAGTGAGGTAAGTGGCCAAAGGACTGCTTGAGTGAGAAAAGAAACATGCCACAATGATGAAATGAGGTGCATTCATTACCAGACTGGATATAAAATCCAGGGACTTTTTTGTTTCTGATCATTGGAAGAGCCCCCTCACTTGCCATGAGATAATTTTTATCCATTGCTCTTACAGAATCTCTTTATTCACACTGGTTGCGGTTCAAAGATCTGATGCAAGCTAGAATTTCTGAGACCATCACCTTGGCTTCAGCTCAAGAAATCTGACCTGGGTCCGCGTTGCCAGACCTGGATCCGGGAGTTGGAAACATGTTAGAGACAAGACCTAGGAGCAGTATTCACAACAGGGAGGCTGGGCAATGTGTGGGGTCACCAGAGGACCCTTGGAAGCTGCCTGATCATGGGGTGGCTTTGGAGGGTATTGGAGGGCTACGGCTTGGATCTGTGCCAGTAGAGACAGGCATCCATATAGGAAAACTCAAAGATGAGAGAAAGGACATGAAGCCCTTCATTCCCAAACATATTTTCTACTTTTGGTTCCCTACTAACTGCTTCTGAGGCCACCGTTATGCTGTGAGGGCACCAGCTGTGTTTTGAGATGCATAGTCTAAAAGGTACCATGACTAATGAGTTTAACTAAAACCAGCATGGTGAATTACTTGAGGAAACCTTGGATTTGTAAGAAAAAAAAAAAAAGATCTCCACCACATCGGTAGGAAAAGAGCATTTGTGGAGGGATGTCATATTTCTTATTAAATCAATTGCTGTCTGAATGTGGAGAGGTGATGAAGTGAAACATGGGAGTAAGAGCAGCCATGGGCACCCATCAGGTACAAAAGTTAGGATCGAGTTGTCGTCTTCTTTCTCCTTAGATGGCCCAAATCCTCAGTGATGGCTGCTGCAAGACAGAAAACTGCTATCCAAAAATAGGTATGTAAAGGTTTGTCAAGAGTCTTGACAACAACTAAACCAAGAAAAAGCAACCTCTAAAGGTAGAACAAAGACAAAAGAAATTTAAACAAAGAAAGGATAGGAAGGAAGGTGGAAATATCCCACTGCTGTCACTTCCTCTTCATCCCACAAAGCCCAGGCCCAGAGGGGAGGAAGCAAGTGTTCACCAAAGGAGAGGTGGAAAAGGCAATTTGACTCAACTCGATCTAAAGGAGAAAGAGGAAGGTCAATGCCTTGTCTCTGGACCAGTGCCAGTGGCTAGCCAGGATGCCGTGAGCCAAGAAAAGAGCAGCCCAGACTCAGTGCTTCGCCCATCCCACCCCAGCGAGCTGTGGGGCCATCAAAGAGCTTTTGCACCAGGCTGTTTGTAGCAACTATTAGGTAAAAATGCCCAATGCAAGGAGTCCCTGTGCTGGTGGAGGAAATCTGAGTGATCTTCCAGCTGAGGTGGGTAGCAGGTCCTGCTTTGAGGAACATGGGTGCAGGCCTCCTGAAAAAGCAACTGGGAGAAGAACTGAGGTTTTGAGTTGATGCCCACAAAACTTAACTATTCGTTTATCTTTCCATTCTGCTTCCATCTCACTTCATGCACCTCTCCTGCTGAGGTTGAGAGATCTTAAAACATGAATTTGTTCTTTGTTCTTAAACCATGCCTGGGGATTTAAGTGGCCTATGAGCAACCTGAGGAGCCCATCCACCCTCCTGATTTGGGAGAGGTGAGTCACCACCAAGAGCAGTGACTGGATGAATGGACACATTCAGTGGGTGCCAACCATGCGGACATGTGGGACACTGTAGGACACAGGCCAGGCCTAGGTCAGGTGATGCTAAATGCTATAGTGGTAGCAATTTTGGTGGGTAATGACCTGCATCTCTCTGGCAAGCAGCACCAAAAATTATTTCATCCAGAAAACACTTTATCACACAGCTCTCTCCCTATAAACCCACTCTTGCTCCAATGGGCTGGATGGCACCATTGAGAAACCTTGGGTAAAAAAAATCTCCCTTCCCAAAGTTGACCTGAAGACCATGGCCAGGACAGAGAGAGATCAGTTGCTGACTGAGTCCTCCCATGGAAAGTCTGTGGTCATATCCCTAGATGTGAACCCCAGGTCATTGGCCACCCATCTGATGGTGAAATATAGCAGGACACTGCTGATTTAAACTATTCTCCCATTCACAACGAGTCAGACCTTGCTGCAGTCTCTGGACTTAATTTCTTAAGAATTAAGCCTTATTCTTTCAGGCTTAATATTAAAAGTTTATCCAGAGCTTCTGTCTCATGACAGCCTTAGAAAATATTTTTTTTCAGACTAGAGGAGAATGAAATGCATTTTTGGTGAGTAATAGTGCCACCCACAGCAGAAGGCCTGGCTTAGGCAAGCTCATTACTGTTGTTTTGAACCACCAGCCTACCAAATACCCAATTCCAAAGCAGAAACACATGCAAAACAAAGAGCAAGAGCAATGCAAGGCCAGGAGTCCCTGTTTTCCTTCTCCACGAGCTGTAGGACTATTTTAATTTTCTCTCTTCCTGCCTGCCTGGCCAAATTCCTGTGGTGGACTTGGTACTAACGACTGGTCACGAGCACCGTTGGGGAGGATTTGGTCTGAAAAGAAGAGAAAAACCCTGCAAAGCACAGATCAATGGTAAGAAGGGGCAGATAGGACAAGAAGATGCTCAGTGTCCCGCTAACACTGCTCACAGAAGATGTTGTATTTCCTCCAGCAGTGTGAGAATGACCCTTTCACACTGTGAGCCCAAAGATTAAAGGTTTTAAGGTATGTGAAGGGAAAAAAAAAGGGAGGGGAATTCTGCCAAGTCACCAACGTCAACCCCCTCCCTTACCAGGAAGAGATTGTTTCTATAAGCCTGAAAAAGAAAGTTCACTTGGATTTCAGCCAGGAGCGCTCACCCGGTTTTCAAGAAAGCAGAAATAAAATTACCTGCCTCTGACCTTCCTGGTTGGCTTTCGTCAGGGCAGCACTGTTACTGGGGGTCCCTTGTTGGACCATCGTCATTTCATCAAGTTATGGAAAAATGGCCTAAACTAACAGTTATGAGACCACGCATCTGCCATCAAGTTGCTCTTGTGACTGCATGTGGGGAAGTCTTTTAGCACTAATATGAGTCTAATAACCAGAGTCTGCCCCTCTCCTCATGAATGTGTCACCCCCAAACCTCCAAGTCCTTGCATATCTTAGTGGGAAGTGGTGCAGAGCTGCCTGAAAGATAGACAGATAAATAAACAGATAAGTATATCACCAGGAGAAGCAGGCAAGCCTTCTACGCATGCATGCATGCACACGGAGAGCAAATAGCTGGGAGGAAATGAATACACTGCAAAAACATGATTTCATTTCCTGATGTGTGCATCCTATGACTACGTCTGCAATACAGCGTCTCTGCAATGGGGAGAGCCCCGGAGGGCTGAGAACTTTCCCTGACTGCTAGCTACAAAGACGGCTTGGTTTCACCCAGAAGAGGCAGGGTTTGAGAGCCTGGAGATTCTGCTTTTGGTCCCTGCTGCCCTGGGTCTCCTCTTGGGCAACACTGGAGGATGAGCATCATGATGAGGAGCTGCTTTGATGTGAAAAGTCCACCCAAAAAGGGCAAGGAAACATGTGGTGTTTTGTGCCAATGGAGGTTGAGGACCACTGTTTCCAGCATGCCACCCAATACTGCTCCACTTTTGACAACTCTTTGTGTACATGAGGTTTTTGCAGGCTAGGGAAGATGCCCAAAGGGGAGGAGGTTATTTGGAAAGGCCACAGCTCTGAGCACGGAAAGAAAGAAAATGCGTCAGTGCAGAAGGCAAAACGAAAGGACATGTCCTGCTCCTCCTCTCCATGCAGCTCCCGTTGCTAAACTAATTCCCTGCCTCAGAACTTCCTGTTTCCTACTTCTGTAACGCCCCCGCCAGCCCCTACCACCTTGTTGAAACAGCTCAAGATTGGCTAAAAATCTATTAATAGTGCGAAAAGGAAGCTCAGAAGAATAACTTCGGAAATGGCGGGTGACACACCCCGCTGCGGCGGCCAGCAAGCCGGGCTCGAAACCAGCTCCCAACGGGATGAGAAAGCTCGGGAGACTGAGTGACCCAGGGAAGGGGAGGGGATGTGAGCCAGTTCCTATCCGCCTCCCCATTCGCAGCCTTTCCTAATCCAGAAAGGGCCAGGGGTTGAGTTTGTCACAGGGAAAATGGGGGTGATGAGGCCTTTGCGAGGGGCCACTTGGAGGGTGCACCACAAGGACCCGGCAGACCAGAAGAGCACAAAATGTAATTATTTATACTGGAAGGGAGCTGGGATACCGGAGCCAACTACAATCACGGGGTGTTCAGAGTTCCCTTATGGACAGATCTCCTCCTGTCTAGAGAAAGACAGGTCCAGACAGCACCGGCCTCCTGAGCTACCTGATGAGGTTTTGGCAAGGGCCGTGACCAAGTCACGCTACTCATCTGTCACTTGTCACCCTTGCAACCGCAGCTTCACCTCAGCATTACCCAACACCTTCACTGCCACTCTCACCTTCACTGTTAGGAAATGGTTTCACACGGGTCAGAGACAAACCTGGTCTCCTGCAGGAGAGGGAGAACGTGGGAAAAGGTCTGATGCTCAGTGTCATCAGGCTTTGGGAACCCTCACCCATCAGCCCAGCTTTCCCATGCAGGCATCTTTATCCATCCCACATTCTGTCAGAATAAAATAATGATGATAATCATAATCATAATCCTGCTCTAGCACAGTCTTGAGAGAATTGCACTGTAAAATATTAAAGACGAAACCTGACAGTTGGATCTAGTGAGGGCTACAATATCTCTTGGGAAGGAAACGAGTACGTCTGGACCCTGATTTAAAACCACTGAGCTTGTTTTCCGCAGGGAACCTCCTTGTTCCCTGTTGCAAGGAGGCTTGATTGATAAAAACTTTCAGTTTGGTGCTGGTCTTGCACGCGGGTGGCAGAAAGGGAGGCAACAATAACGACAAGGATCCTTTGCTCCACTATCAAACGGAACGAATCCGGAGCCACGGCCTGCCCAGAGCCTCTGCCCAGAAGGACTTACCTGATAAGCTGCACACCAGAGAAAAACAGCCATGAGCTTCAAGCCCTGAAGGGTTTGGCTCTTATCACGCCTGTCCAGATGGACTGGAGTGTCCAGGGGCTTCCCACTGTGCATCACCATCCTGGAGATATGGCTCAACTGGGGCACCTTAATGTGAGGACTATTAGCAAACTGAAGGATTTTATGGGCACTCATGCCCCCAAATAAGCCAGAAACTGCCCTACTTTAATTCAGACTAGGGAAAAAAAAAAAAGCCAGAAACTGCCCTACTTTAATTCAAACCCCACTCTTTTAGTTGCCTCTGTTGCATCTGATGGAAGGGATTCAGGCTCTCACAGCATGGGTGTGTGAACCAGATCTCAAGCTTCTGCTGCTCTGTCCCTTCTGTTAGATCTGCCTCGCTTTATTTTACTTTACTTAAGATAGCTTCTTGGGGTATGAGGAGCAGGTTGTACAGTTTGATAGCCTGTTTGGGAGAAGAAAACACCATTCCACACTGCAGATAAGCTATTACAGTTAAAACTTTGATCAAGAAACGCAGACAAAGCCTGAGATGCTGTTCCTGCCACAATTGCTACACTCATCCCCAATATTCAGGTTCTGATGAACTGGCATTTTCTGATGAGAAACCTGCTTCATTAACAAATTCCCTATCATCTCTTTCTGCAAGTATTTGAGCCAGCTCAGCTTGTCTGTTGTTTCATTTGGAAGTATGACAGACTATTAAAAATAATCATCCCAAGCACATCTCCCTGCTTCGACACATTCCTCTTCAGTATGCAAGGAGATATTTGCTCTTCTGGAGGAGAACACTTTGATTTACAACTTCTGGGGCTTTTGGAAACTTCAGAGCAATTAGATTTTCACTGATGTGAATCTGCAGTGGCAACAGTCTAACCCATGAACCTCTCTCTTCCTTGGTCCTTCTAAATGGCCCATTTGGAGAAGCAGAAATGGGTTCCTCTCAAAAAAATCATCATTAATGCCAACCTTGGATTTCTCCCCATTTTTTCCTTGAGGGCTGTTTGTTGCCAAGAAATTGTGATTGGGCTGTGACATCTTTCATCCCTATGGACACAACTGGCCCATCTCAAGCAGCATCATCTGCATGGCCAACTCCAGGCCAGAGGTGAGAGATGCGGGTGATGGCAGCAAGTTCTACTCCAGCCTCCCTCATGGATATCATAGGACATTGTACGAAGGACTGTCTTTTCCCAGGTACAGTCCATAGCTATCTAAGAAGTGAAGGGAAAGGGGAAAAATAATAAAAAAGAGACAGGAAGACCAGTGTGGAAAATGAAGGCTCTAAAATCCTTTCGCATGGTGTTGTCAAGGAGGTGAACAGACACATGCACACATGCACACCCCTTTCCATTCTACCCACGGCTATTTTTCATCACGAAGCCTGGAAAAATCCTCTTCCGCTGGGTGATGATGAGATTTGGAACCAATCCGCCTCCAACCCCACACCGTTCCCAGGCTGCAAAATGAACTGTGGACTCTTCACAGCCCAAGTAGAAACCCTCTCATTGCTCAGGAAACGGTAGCGGAGCTGCTGAAGCGGAAATGCTGGGAGCACAAGCCAAAAGAAAAGCATTTCCCTGCTTGACCAGACCCTCCGAAGCTCAGTGCTAAGCCATGCTCATATCCTTCTCAGTCCTTTTTTACACCATTTGCAAAGATGGAGTTGTCCTGTAGCTACCTCACTTCTTTGAAGTAAAATTTGTGGCAGTACAACATATTCTTTTTCCAAGCTAGTATCAATCTCCCCCCTGCAAACAAGCCCTGTAGGAGTTTTCCGCACGAAGCCAGCAGCTGAAGGACATGATGTCTGGCATATTTAGCACTGAAAACTCTCTATTTCTGCAAGAGGCATCTAGGGACTTTGGAAGAAACTCAAGCTTTACATTGAGAAATGGGTCATGAAATTGTCTTGGCAGCAAGGCAAAGCCCAACTACCTTTGGTCTAAACAGAGGTCATGAATCAAAATCACATTGAAAATCACAAGAATGCCTTAAATCCACAGGATATATATTAATATATATAATAAATACATATGTATTTTTATAGAAAAATTTGGGATTCTTCTTATATAACTTCTAGGTCATTAGCCATGAAGATACTCTTTCCTGCTTTGGTCTACAAGCATGAGTGCTAAATAAGCTTTTTCCCCTAGAGAAAAGTAAATATATTAAAAGCCCAGATTTCTCTGAATCTGGACAGGAATCCCAAGACCACAATAAGGACTTAGAGTCTGGATAAGACTATCAGAGTTGGTAATGTCATCTTGACTCCTCAGGGAGATGGTTAACTTCACCACCTCTCCATGCTTTTCAGCCCAGGAGGATGAATCATCTCTGCCCAGCTTTCCCTGGAAGACTGACAACTTGAAAAGGCATGAGGATAGGAGCCGTCAAGTGCGGAGCTGATTTTTATTCAGCCCGATGGCTTGTCTATATAGAGGTACTCAGGAAAATTAATTGAAAATTAACACAAGGTGTGATTCCAAAGTGGATTAGGTGAAGTGCACACAACTCGCCAGGTGGTGACTCTCATTCGGCTTTAAATCAGCTCTATTCATTTTAGCTGAAATGAAGTGGATGAAATCAAATTGAAGTCTCCTTAGTTCTGAGCACCAACGGAGGGAAGCTGGTAAAGTTTAACTAAGTTAATTTTAGAGGGAGCTGGTGATGGTCCGCATGTAAACCTCCAGATTTTGCGTTTGGTGCTGTTATCAACCTCATGCAGGACCTGGCTCCTTTCTGCTAAGCCCAGCACCACCAAGGAGGTGGGCTTGCATGTCCCTAGCAAGAAGCAGAAGCAGCCTCAATCTCGTCTGGAAGCCAAATTCACTTTTGCTCCCCTCCAGCTGGCCAGGTTCATACTCTGAGCAATCAGCGCAATGTGGGGAAGGAGCTGGCCCTGAGCTACTTCTCATGACGGCACCT